TCCTCTCTCCATAATTTACAACAAGTCCTTGGAAGAAGGTAAACTACCAACTAGATGGAAGCAAAGCAATGTTGCTCCAGTTTTCAAGAAAGGCTGCAAGAAAGATCCTAGCAACTACAGACCAATAAGTCTCACCTCTGTCTGTTGCAAACTCATGGAATCTCTGATCAGAGATGAAGTATCTGACCATATGCTGACCAATGACCTATTCAGTGACCATCAGCATGGATTCGTCCCTGGGAGGTCCTGTATGACTCAACTGCTGTGTGCTATGGAAGCATGGACGGACTTGATCGACAAGGGGGAGTCCATTGACGTAGTCTACCTTGATTTTAGTAAGGCTTTTGACTCCGTTCCACACCAGCGTCTAATACACAAGCTCGAGGCCTATGGAATCTCTGGTCCTATCAGAACGTGGATCCAAGACTTCCTCACTGAACGGAAGCAGAGAGTGGTTGTGAACCACAACATGTCAGATTGGACCCCAGTCACCAGTGGAGTACCGCAAGGGAGCGTGCTCGGACCTCTTCTATTTGTCATCTACATAAATGACCTTCCTGATGAGATTGAGGCAGCAGTCAAAATCTTTGCAGATGACACCAAACTGTATGGCAAAGCTACGTCTGAGGAAGACTACACCACCCTGCAGAGAGACGTACAGAAACTTGAGGGATGGTCAGAGAAATGGCAGCTCCACTTCAATGCAAAGAAATGCAAGACCCTGCACCTAGGGGCAGGCAATCCACGGAGGGAATATGAGCTAGACAGTGTAAAGATCCCAGAAACCAAAGAAGAAAAGGACCTTGGAGTTGTCATTGACGAGAAGCTCAGATTTCATCAACAATCTGCAATTGCTGCTAGAAAAGCAAATGGAGTACTAGCTCGCATACGTAGATCTTTCACTTGCAAGGACAGATCAACAATTCCACTCCTCTATAAAGGTCTTGTTCGTCCCATATTAGAATATGGCAATGTAATCTGGCACCCTCGCTATGTGAAGGACGAAAAAATCATAGAGAAGGTACAAAAAAGAGCAACAAAAATGGTACCAGAGATAAAACTCCAAAGCTACCATGAGAGACTTGAGAGTTTGAAACTTCCCTCACTTAGCCACCGCCGCCGCCGAGGAGACATGATTCAGGTGTTCAAGTTGATGCAGAACATTGACAGGTTGGACTCTACCCAATTCTTCACACCTGCAATCAATTCAACAACGAGAGGGCATGCTTTCAAACTGACCAAACCCAGGTGCAACACCAAACTCAGGCAAGACTCATTTAGCCACAGGGTCCTCAACGACTGGAACTCCCTCCCTGAGTTGGTAGTATCTGCAACCTCGGTAAACAGCTTTAAAGCCAGACTTGACAAACACTGGAAGAAGGAGCAATATCATTCACCCTTCTCCCAGTTGACACTCCAGTTATGACAATCCTGATATGACCCAGCAAGCAAGATACAGATGTAAAATGACTATGGTGCAAGACCCGGAAGCTGGGACATCCCCCCCCCCCCTTGAAGTTAGACCTGGAAGCTTGGCAGCTGGAGACGGCTTTCTTCCAGAAGCTTTGGTATTCAAGGTATTCAAGGTATATCTGTCAAGACATACATGCATGGCTAATTATTGGATTCTTCTGTCCTAATCATTGATTAAGTTCTTGAAAGTGTGACATATCTATACTTTTATTGTATAATTCTAGATACATGTAGGCCTAGCTATACTGTGGTCATCAACTCATCATTATTAAAGAATCTTAACCTGTGATTCATTGAACTATTATAACATAGATTAGATGTAATTGTGACTCCTTAAAAAAAAAGATACACCATTTATAGATATTTCATTTTCAGTTCATGAAGGCAAATCGATATCGACCCCTGTAAATTTGATTTGAGTTGTACAATGGGGGACTGTGAAAAAAAGAAGCTGTCGCTTTTGCCTCCGGATTTAACAGAAAATGTGCGTCAAATAGCACTAACCATCGTAAAAATTTGTCAATATTGTCTAATAAATAAATTGTCTTCAAAAAATTTATGAAACATTGCATAGTAAACTTCAAATTTTTAGTTTGAAATCAATTGTCCTGATAATCAACCTGTCTGGGCACTAAAATTGTCAGCTCACAGGTGATGATCTACATCTACTGTATTATCAACCAGACATTTCTTTTTCGTTTTTTTTCTTTCTTTCCTTCTTATATTGTTGAAAATCCAGCAGACATAAAGCATACACTATAGATTGTGGATGAATGGCTATGGTATGTCTGTGGAATAGCTCACTATCATTATTCCAATATTTGATCAATAGCGTCACGTGTTTACTCTTGACAAACTACTCCCAGACCGTTCAATAGTACGATTCATGACTGCACTTCAAAAATATTCCCAGAAAAAGCGTATATGATTTAATGAATTTAACACTCTTTTATCATGAGATTTCAAATGGCTACGCCCCACGAGACTGACATCCCTAAACCGACAGCCCTTTAGACTGACAGCCCAATTGGTTGACAATGTCAGTTTTGCAACTTTGCTGAAAAGTTATGATAGTCAAGGCAAGAGCTGTCAGTCATCTTGAAAGAATGTTGGAAGAAAGATAAATAAAACTTGAACTTGAACTTTCAGGCATGCAACAGGAACCGCAAAGAACACCACCCTCTAAATCTGTAGTACTGCCACATCTTGTTAAAACCAAAACTTTAGAATTATGGTTACTTTAATCCAATTCAATTTGCTGCATTTTATGAATTCTTTGCATAAAGTGAAATCTAAGATTTTGACTAACATCGGTTGAGGAATGTGGATCAAAATTCACCTTTTTTCCTCTCAGATAACACATATTTTGTATGAGTTGTTTCATTTAGAAGTGCTGGTTCGGTCATATAATTCATTTGGTTCTATGCATGTGTGTGTGAGTTGAAATGGGTTTTTAGGGATGCATCTGTCGTCTGGGGACCGACTTTTAATGTCACTATCCGAAAGACCCGACTCATTTTCAAACCTGGGTCAAATCGGAGCCCGTTTGTAGGTCAAGACAGATCGCTGAAGATACCACTAGACCAACTCATGATGCTTGAAGTCGCTGGGTTCTTACTGATGCTTATCTCGCAGATATAATTACTTATGTCTGGAGACTGACCTATGATGTCACCATCTGAAAGACATGACTCAGTTTCGATCCAGGGTATGTCAAAGTCAAATTGCAAGCAATGACAGAGAGCTGAGCATGGTACTCCTAAACGGACTCACATCAGTTTGTTCTTAACTTGTAGTAGATCTATTTCTTTTTGAAGAACCCACTCTGAAATATTATAACATGGTGTGCACTGTGTAGTACATGTACTTCACAATAACTTGTCTCACTTTTCATAATTGAATTATATGAACTGGTACCCTGCACTGTAGTGAAATTAATCCTTGCATGACAAGCACGATTGTGCACTGTTGGCCTGCTAAGAGACCCTGTCTGATATTTTGATAAAGGGGTTATATTACTTATCTTTCTCTTTGAGTGCAGTAGAGGTATACCTGTGTTACACTGCCCTTGTATACCTGATATGCTAAAGTAAGTCTTGTAACCTATTTCACTGACATTGACGATGACAATGACATTGACATTGCTTCAAAAAACCCATTCAGCTACTACTAGGCTAGTATTAATTGGCTGTTAAGTAAATACAATTGAATATAAAATAAAAATACAAGTATGTTTTTAAATATGTATAAGCATAAAAGTATTGGATGTTACAAGGCATAAAAATTCATAATAGACAAATGATAATTCACAAAGTACATTACATTCTTTTTTTAATAATTTGCGATTAAAGAGATGGAATTTCAATAGATCATACAAATTTAAAGGTAAATAATTATATGAAGATTGTTACTTTTGAAAAGAAGACTTAGAGTTAGAGAAACCAGCAGACCTCTTTTGATATATGATACAAAATTGCATGACTATATTGCCATTCTATATGAAGTACCGTACTTCAGCCAGAAAGAAGAATTCTGCTTGGATTCTAATATAGTTCACTGTGCATTATTTTACCTTAGGGCTTTAGGCCTGTGTAAATATAGATCTTGCTCTGTAAAATCTGGGAAAACAATTGTGTGCTTAAAGTACTTTTGACAACATGATGATCTGCAGAAAATTTGCATCTGAATCCCATTGCATAAAACTTACCATTGATGGTAGCTTTGCCATTAATATTAATTACCATGACAACATCACTCAACAGCCAATCAGATCAAGCTTTCTCTGGAAGTCACCATTAGTGGCAAATTTACCATCAATGCTATTAAACTTGTATGCAATGGGACCCAGAATTTGTAGTGAAATCAATGTTTATTTTCAAAGTGAATTTTAGGTAGCGGTACATGTATTTAGTTTTTTTTTCATGCTAATACAGTTTGTTGTTTGTATACAGCCCACTGTAGACCTAGAAATTTTGTGCAAATTTCATAGTGGTTGATATTTAAAAAAACAGGTACCTGCTGCAAAGTGAATAAACTTTAACACTGACTATTTGCAACTGGCACATTTTTTGTGAAGGTTGTCGCCTTGAAAAAGCCCATCATTGTTGCATGATGCTCAAAATTATCTGGTTCAATGATATAAGTTCATTATCTTCGTAAAAGATAGGTAGAAGTGTCGTAGTTGAGTGGTTTAAGCACTTGACTTGAAATTCAAAGGTCGTGGTACAATCCCCGATATGGCACTAATGTCCTTTGGCAAGGCATTAATCTACATTTGCTACACTTAACCCAGGTGAGGTAAATGGGTACATGGAAGGAATTAATCCCTTGAAATGCTAGAGCGCTGTAATGGCAGCTAGGCTAGAGCCGGGGTAATAATTAATTTGTGCGCCTCGGAAGAGAATTGTCTAGATAGATGGTGCCTTATAAATGTTATAAATGCTTAATATTATTTTTATATTGATACTAAAATCTTCAATGATGCTTTAATATCCTTTTTTTTTATTCTGTTCAACTTGAAACACCAGGCGTTGCCGCAGGTCACACTTCTGGTTGGAAGGAAGACAACTTCTGGAGTATGCCGAGTGCTGACTACAGCAGAAGGAACAGATGAACCTAGGTATACTGAATTCCCTGTTCCTACTGCTCAAAAGCCCCTAGAGCCTGGTCTACCCAAGTGGGCCAACTATGTGAAGGGTGTGGTCCAGAACTTTAAAGGTAAATTTATGTCATGATTCTTGCACTAACAATTCTAACCGCCATCAGTATACAAGGGTTGGAGGGGGGGGGGGGGGGGGGGGGGGGGGGGGGGGAGGTCCCTGAAATCCCTTTACTTGGATTCCATCAATACTAAAGGCTACTTACATTACTTAGAGCTAATTTTATCATGACCAGGTAATACCGAAGTGATATTTTATTCTAAAATTGGCTTATTACTCCGTTTCAGGAAAATATAGAAATCAACATCTCTTTAATAAAATTCATGAAAATTCATCACTTAAAATGGAATATACATTAATATGACAATTATGGAAGTTAAATTACTTTAATTCAAGTACATGTAGGGGCTATAAATATTTTTTGGGACATATGTTTGGGACATAGAGATAAAAAGTAATTAAAACCTAGAGAAATTTCTCATGCACTGTACTTTAACTGGACAATCTGCTACTGCTTCCAGGCACACTGTGTTCTTTTGATGCTGCCGTTGTGACATCGGTACCTCTCGGGGGCGGTGTCTCCAGTTCGGCGTCGCTGGAGGTGGCTACCTACACATTCCTGGAGGAGCTCACTGGATGTAAAGCATCCGACCTCACAGAGAAGGCCCTCGCTTGTCAGAAGGCCGAACATGATTTTCCGAAGATGCCTTGCGGAATCATGGACCAGTTTGTTTCTGTTATGGCGCAAGAAGGAAATGCCTTGTTACTGGATTGTAGGTAGGTGTAAACTCTGCAGTGACAACAATCAAAAGCACTTCTTTGTATGGTTCAATCTTTGGAGTCCTGAGTTCTGTGATAGGCCTGTCAAAGTCACGATAAAGAGTTCTTCATTTGTTTAAATGCACAAGAAGTCAAATTCATTATAAATTAAGATTAAAGAACAAGGAGTTTCAGATTTTTAATTACATATGTTTGGACATAGGTTAATACAAATCTGGAACTCCTTGTTATACACGAAATACACCCAACAGATCAGAGGAATAATCCATGTACCTTAATACCACCTTTGAAGTTCAAAAGTATATCTTTAATAGCTATTAAAGCAATGTTGGAACCATTAGTTATTTTTTTATAAATACAGGATAAACTAATTTCAGACCTAAATTGCGGACCAATTGGCCTAAATATCACATATAATTTTGCTGCATTGTCATATTTCTAGTAGCCAAAGATTGTACATAATTTATCCATCTTTGTTTGAAAGTTTGGGGAGGGGAAAGACACTCCTGAAAATATAAATTATTCCATCAACTCACATTATCTTTAAAGCTTTAAAGATGTGTCCTAATTGAAATTATTATTGTTTATACTTTGCCTCTTAGGCTATAAGCCTACGATCGTATGGTAGAAACTGACGTCACAAACATCACCCCACTAAAAAAATAGAAACAAAAGTAAAAGAAATCATATCATTACAAGATCGTGCGTAAACAAATTCAATGTATTCTTGAAATCCATTTCTAAGCGGGATCTGAAAATACATGAATATATGGCATGAGAAATATTAGTAAGTTTCCATCAAATTTTGTCATCTTTCAGGACCATGGAGACGACCCAGGTGCCCCTAAGCGACCCGAACGTGGTGGTCCTGGTCACAAACTCCAACGTGAAGCACGAGCTGACGGGCAGCGAGTACCCCACCAGGAGGAAGCAGTGCGAACAGGCTGCCGCTATCCTGGGCAAGAAGAGTCTCAGAGATGCTACGCAAGAGGAATTAGATGGTGAGCTCGAAGGGCCAGGAAGCGTGAGTGTGTGTGTGTGTGTGCTTTGGGTTTTTTAGATACACGTCTGGGGGCTGACCTATAACGTCACCATCCGAAAGACGTGACTCTGTTTCGAACCGGGTCTGCTTGATCCAGGTCGTAGGCGAAGACAGAGAGCTGACCAAGTAAACGTACCACTAGACCAATTCACATCTTGCCAGTGTGAGATGCATGACCCTCCCAAATTTATGGGTATTTTATTTTACTAAAGAGATATATTGTGGACTCCCCTCTTGTTACACTTTCTTAAAAACATCCCCAATAAGTCCTGAAAATGTAAGTTAGGATGGAGTCCAAGAGTATTGATAATGATTATGGTTATGTGTAGAATTATGATTATTGAGATAATATTAGTCATCATTGTAGTTATGAAAATGGTAATGATAATGATAGCAATTGCCATGACAGTATGATGACATATGGTTTTATCTGCTTTTGCAAATTCCAGTCTTGGTGTACAGATGTATGTTACTAATTAATACGATTTTAGCTATGATAATGGTAATTGTCATTATCCATCTAGCAGTATAATTGTGATGGCAGTATGATAAAAAATAATATTTTGTCTGTAGATCATATCGACTACATGTTGTTAATAGGCAGCTGAATAATATTTGTTGGTGTGTGTGTGTGCAGAAATCTGCTATCAAAATCTAAAGAGGATTTTTATATTTATGATTTCTGTTACTGCAGCTACCAATAATAATTTCTCGGACCAAACTGTGTTCAACCGAGCACGTCATGTGATTGGTGAGATCAAGAGGACGACGGATGCCGCCACAGCCCTGCAGAAAGGAGATTATGACCTCTTTGGCAAGTTGATGGTAGAAAGTCACAAGTCACTCAGGTGAGGGGCAGAATGGCACAGCCACCTTGTGGTTTTTTGTCACTGAATTAGATTTCATGGATTTATTTCACAAGAATTTGAGATCGAGAGACGTTTTGAAGGTCGTATCATAGAATTAATTCTGAACTTTTTTGGCGAGTTGATGATAGTAAGTTATAAGTCACTCAGGTGAGGGGCAGAATGGCACAGCAACCATGTGGCCTTTTGTCACTGAATTTGATTTCATGGATTTATTTGACTAGAATTTGGGATCGAGTAAAATGTTTGTGAAGGGCGTATCATAGAACTAATTCTGAACTATTTTGATTTGCTACCTAGAAAAATGTAATTCCATTTAGGCTGCATCCTGCCTGTCTTGATGAATGAGCAAGGGACCTACATAGATAATTTGAGCATGTAAAACCAAAGATCACAATCTCTTTTGACACAGAAAACCTAGCACCCTGTAAAGCAAAGCTTAGCAACTGCATTGTACGATTGATTGATTGATTGATTGATCTGGCAATAAGTTCATTGTACATCATGGTCAATCGCTAACTTATCTTTGTTTTACCTGCCCTGGTTTTTTCCAGGACCACTGCTCTAGTGATAAAGAATTGGTGGGGAGAGAATGGGAATCCTCAATTTTCCTTCATTTGTTGGCACATTTTTCAAATGTTTTAATGTACTCAACTTAGAGGCATTGTTTAACAATGTTAAATCTGAGATGCACGGCCCTACATGTTATCAGTGTCTGTGATATGGTGTAATATTGAAGCCCTAAAAAAATTGCACTTCAAAATGACCAAGAAGTGCCTCAAAAAAAGTAAAAATCTTTGAGTGACCGGTTTTACCATACTCGTTTTAGCCAATAGACTGTAGTGTACAGTTATGAAAACCGTTAGGAATACAGAAAATTGATTTTGATTTCCAATCATAAATATCTTGAGAATCAGCCAGGCGATCAGCTTGTAAAAGTCAAGGGGTTTCAGACTGACTTAAAGGTTTATAATTATCATTGCAGCATGAGCTAAATCCAGGATTTTGTTTCAGAATCTGAGACAGAGTTACCCAATCCCTTTAATTATCCCTAAATCCATGAACATGACTTTTTAACTGACTGTGTATTTTGTATCCCCTTTGATATAGTGGAGACTACGAGGTGAGCTGTGCAGAATTGGACCAGCTAGTGGAAGCTGCCATGTCGGTAGACGGTGTCTATGGCTCACGTATGACAGGGGGAGGGTTCGGAGGTTGCACCGTGACGCTCCTCAAGAAAGATGCCATCGGCCGTGCCGTCAAGACCATCAAGGTATAGCATTCAGGCTTGTTCAGATATGAATAGGTGGACCGTGGCTAGGCCAATCAAGAAAGACCCCCTCGTCTCTCGGAAGAGTCTTTGGGTGATACAAATGTCAGATAAGGAATTTACCATATGGGGAAAAGACCAAGCATTAAACGAAGCCTGTTGTTGGTCATAAAATTGAAGGCTAGTCCTGGTGATTGACAACACCTGTTATTCAGTAAACACCCAAATAGTGTCAAATTCCCCATGAGAGCCCACTTCCATGTGTCTTTAAATCAATGGCAACTGCACACAGCCTGCCTTCACATATTCACTGAGCTGTATTATAAGACACAGAAATATGAAGCATATATTACACTTACATCATCATAAGATTAAAAAACCCTCCATGGTCATACCATGTCATTGCTGGATGAGGTTTTAGTGCTGTATATATAGGGGTTGCACTCCTGAACAACTTAAAATTGATTGAGATGTTAAAGTCATTAAAAGGACAGAACAAAGTTTCCTTTACAATGATGTTTGACGCTTTGATGCTTCCATATTGACCAATATACTTTAGCAGCAACGCTATACAAGATATTGCTCCGTACATTTAATTCACATCATTGCATTTCTAATTCACCAAAGCAGTCAAAAATAATATATATACATGGAATTATACATTGTGCACAAAAATTTGATAGTTGCTGCCTGGATAGGTAGCATGTACATACATGTAGGAAGTGATCCTTGTTCTGATTTGTTACATTGCCTTGGTGTATGATTCCATTCTGTTAAAATTGGCATTGTAAAGCAAAACAAAACAACGTTATTGATAGGTTTTCAAGACGGAAAAAATTGAGTGTGAAAAAAAAAGCAGCCTGCTGTTTGCGATATAATTGGAATACATGGCATACATGTATATAGGTTCAATAATATTCCTCCCAATATGCATGTGTACATGTGAATACCGGTATTTGTATTATTGTTATTATCATTACAATCTCTGCCATATTGTATTTTTGTTCTTGCAGGAGAAGTACAGCGGTACACCAACCTTCTTCCTGTCAGTGGCGTCCAAAGGTGCGCACTCTCTGAAGCTCTGAGCTCGGAACACACATCACAAACAGTTACCCCAATTTTCTACTTTTTCTTCTCCAAGTATGTACCCATATAGTAAGAAATCTGGGATCAAAATGTGGGTATTCTAATTCTTTTGACAATTAGTTCATGAGGGATTCAGCAGCTGGTATACTATATATTCATCAGATTTGAAGATTGTAATATTTAGAAAACTTTTGTGACGTGAATCTTTCATAACTTGTAAGCAACAGCCATATTAGTGTCAAGAAACTATTGTGAGTCACTAAAATGCAGTGTTGTAACAGTTGTGATTCCATCATTTCACGGCTTAAAACTTTTGCAAGTCTTAAACCTTTCCCAAACTTAAAACATTTTATGCGCACAAGTTTCAGGTTTTACAATAGGCTTCAGAATACTTCCTGCAAGGTATTAGGTATCAGGGTATAAGGTATTAGCTAAGTGCAAATCATGGATATTTGATAGCATTTCCACCCACCAAAGGTGGTGCCGGAGCATTATTTTGTTGGGTTCTCCGTTAATTAGTAAATGGTTCATTAGAGCTATCACAGTTTCACCATGGACCTAACATGGTTCAAGTCACCAAGTATTACAAAGTCACATGATGTTATCTCGAGGAATTCTAGAACACTTTCAAATTTATCAAATAATTGAATTGATAAATTTGGCGGCCTGTACCAAGGTGCAATATAAACAGGTTTCCGTTTACCAGCATATCATAGAGGTCAATTATTGAAATTAGAGGTATTATTGTTATCACAATATGTCAAGAACTTCTTAAGGTATGAGCTTCAAACACGGTGTGACAGTGTTACTATAGGAAGATGATCCGATTACATTATTGGACAAGTAGGTCAAGATCATAATCGTTTGGTTAGAGAAATTTGATTATAAGCTTTTTGTTTTCATTGTGCTATGTCCCAAATAATTCCATCCAATTCCTTTACCGAATTTAGGGCGGAGGCATATATTAGACACAGTCGCATTTGTCTTGTTTTTTAAAGGTGCAATGAACCTGTGTAAGGATGTAAATGCAGTATGATTAAGCAGCTGTTTTACTATTAAACATTTTAGAGGCAAGAGGTTCATCATATTTGATAGTTCATGTGGGTTCTTTTATAGTCTCTTTGTTATGAACAAAAAATTTATCAAGTATTGGACATATATGCAGTTGTAGGAAACTTGTAACACTTCTATAGTGGAGACTTGTGTAATATCTCTAGTGTGATATGTTCATCTAATAAACATTTTTGGCATGCATTACATCTAATCCTTGGTACATGTTCCATAAAATAACAGTGCTGTTCGCAAAGGCTGAAAATTTCAATTGCAAATTAGTTTTATTTATATGTATGAATGTTATTCAATCTAGAAAAGAAATGCCTGATAGTCGATGGATTTAAGTTTTATTCTAAATAATAATGGATCCTGCTCAATCTAAAATATCAATATTGTGATGGCTTAATCATTTAAAGTGATCAAGGATAATTTGGTTATTAGTTTTTTATTCAATAGAGTGTGACGTCATCAAAAATCTATTTTTAAGAATTTCTCAATTTTTTTTCTTCATTTTCCGAAAGAGCGTAAAAAATAATAGGCTGAGATATGGCCATCTGAATAAATGGATGCCCTATGGGAACTCAGTGTTATAGTGCTCTGGTTCATAACATTAGGAACCAGAGCACTATACTGAGTTCCCATAGGACATATTTTTTTCTTCAGATGGCCATATCTCAGCCAATACTTAACATATTCAATTGGTTTTCGACATTTGGACATTATTTTTGATGCTCTTTTGGAAAATGAAGAAAAAATTGAGAAATTCTAAAAATTGATCTTATGATGTCACAGCTTCGGTACTCTATTAGCACTGTGATTGAGAGAGATTGTTTTAGAACAAATTGTGCATATGTTTTCAGAGAAACTTGTGAAATTAGTTTTCCAGACATTATATTTATTACTACATATATATTTTTTGTAACCTGTAATACTTGAATTGGAAATCTCCACTACAGCTGTGACTGAAGACGGTTTAGTAAAATCGGTTTTAAAAGTTTGGGGTAAACCCAAGGTAGTAATTCATTGCTTGTTTTGTTACTCCAGTAACTGGAAAGAAGGAAAGATCACATCAACAAAGTCTTACCAAACTATATTGACATATTGGTATTCAGAGACTTGCCTAGAACTGGTATATATATATATATGTTAATGTCAAAATGTTTAAGGTATTCGGCTGATTTCAAGTGCATTTGGATGAATGCATATTGGCGACGTAGTCATCATGACTGGTAGAATTCTGTCTGTTATTGTGTGGTATCCAGGGTACATTGTCATGTGTGCATTAATATTGTGATGTTTCTTCCTTTCATTGTAGTAGTGCGATCCAAAATCATGTAGTTTCTACAGGAGTTCTGAATGGTTTTATTTCATTAAGTGTGCTCTATTTCTGCATAAATATTTATAAACAGGGATGATGTCTGTTTTCAGGGTTTTCCTGATTTCAGGCCCTTTCATCAGGCTTCACATTGTTGTTCAGAGCATACAGGGGCAGGGCTGTGATACTTCTGAGTCTCTTTTCCGGCTGAATTGGTTATACCAACTGGTATTCCCTTTGATATGAAGGCACAAAATGTAAATTGTGCAATGTCACCTTTGACAGGGTTTTGTAAGGTTTCTGTGTGCTTCTCTCAATACATATTCAGAAACATGGTAAGTTGTATATTGGGTAATTACTGTGCGTCTTTCATGACATCAATCAGGATATACATGCATATTTATTCATGTATTTTTAAACATTAATTTCCCTGGACTTTCATTAGATAAATGTCTTTGCCATGACACGGCAATTGATTTCATGCAATGCAGATCTGTCTTTGTCAACTATCCTATGCCTGTATATCTATTGGTTTTGTTTGATGTGCTCTTTTGTATGTCATGAGTTGCATATTTAATTGTCTAAAATTATATGCATTTGAGGTATTCTATCCTGTTTCGATTCACTCAAAATCATTCTTTGTTTTAAGAACATTGGTGTATACATTGCAATTGAATCTTGTTGATTTTTGTATCAGTTTGTAGTTTTCAAATTATTTGTCTGAATCATTATCTTTTAAATCATATCACTTTTCACATAACTTATGAGGTACACAGGACAAGCTGCTTCTAAAACTACCTGACACAAAAACAATAGTAATTCTTGTAGATTGTGCTTTCAGTTGTGCCTCTCCTAGGCCTTGGAATAACCTACCACTAGATATAAGAAAAGCCGCATATGTTGCAGTCTTCAAAGTTTCTTTGAAGATGCCTTTGTTTTCAGAAGCTTTTGAATAGTATATGGTCGTGTCTCCATAAAGTATCCCTGTTGGGAGTTTTTTCTTCATCACTCCGCTGGAGAGGATATCTATATAGTAGCTGCACTATAGAAATTGAGTTAATTATTATAAATAGTCCTGTCTGTGTTGCAGTTAGTGTGGTTCAAAACTGTCTTAAAATTGAAATACTAAACAAAAACAAAAACAAAAAAAGTTAATGAAAATTAATTGTGGTGCAGGTGGACTGCCACAACCATGTGTAACTTATTTTTGTTTATGGAAGCAGCTTTGTTATTAATAATAATTCATTTGAAAATGGAAATCAGAGATGTATTCTTTTGAGATTATGGGTTCTAATCCTGCTATGATTATTTTGTCTATAAATTCAAAAACCATGTGTAACTTATTATGTATTCTTTAGAGATTATGGGTTCTAAACCTGTAATGATTATTTTGTCTATAATTTCAAAAACCATGTGTAACTTAATATTTATTTAAGCAACTTTGCTATCAATATAATCTAATTTGAAAATGGAAATCAAAGATGTATTCTTTTGAGATTATGGTTTCTAAACCTGTAATCATTATTGTATCTTTAATTTCAAAGATACTCTTCATAAGCAAGTCATATTTGTTGTTGCATACATGTACATGTGGTATAGTAGAAGTGTAGACCCATGAAGTATCAATATTTTGCTGAGATATACCAATGACTTATTTAGATACGAAAATATTGCACCTTAATAAATAATAAGTCAATATTCCATGCAGGGTTTCTGATATTCAGGTACATACTTCAGTAGCAATATTTCTTACAATTTTGCGAATGCTTGATGTTATGAGAAAGAGGTTGAAATGTAGAACTTGTCAAAGTATTAGTATTTACTTTGGGCAAAAAAGATCAAGTAAATTTGATCACGTTCAAGATTTTTCTGTAATTTAGCCAATAGTAGATACTTTAAGTTTGAGGTGGATACCAGTAACCAAAAAGAATGGGAACAGGATTAATTTCAGTGTCAAGGAGGTTATCAATGTTTTATCAAATTCTTTTGAAAAGGCAATTTTGAATTACCAGTGAAACATGATTACAGTATTAATATCAAAATTGGGTTATGAAATATAATTCATTTGAGTAAGTGTACTTCCATCAACTCAGAGTAGAGGTCGACTAGACCGAAAAGTTTTTTAAAGCTGTATTTTCCCCCTTATTCTGTGACAAATGTACTCGCTTCTTTAGGAGAAAAGATTAAGGAAAATGCTTTTATCTTTTATCTCCCAGGTGCTTCCAATTGAGTCTATATTCCCACATTGTCTACATCTGGCCCATCTACTATCCATCTGGTCTAATAATCATTTCACCAACTTATCATTTGGTCTAATGACCATTTAGCCTAATCTCCAATAAGTCTACGACCTATTTGGTCTATTGTTTATTTTGTCCTATAACCAGTTGGTCTAATTCCCATTTCGTCTACTTAGCCATATGGTCTAATAATCATAAGCAATAATGACTATTAGACCTCGTGAGTAGTAGACAAGATGGGCATTAGACGAACTGAGAATTAGACCGCATGGAATAAGACTAAGTGAGCAATAGACCAATCAACTAGTAGACGAACTGGTTGTAGACCAAAAAGCTGTAAACCCTTCCAAACAAATTCAATTTATATGCTTGGGAAGTCTTGCAATGGATTTTAAAGGAATATAAATTCGATTTACCGATACTGTGTATCATGGGCGCAGTTTTTCCCATTTTGCTTTAATAATATTATTTGGTATATAGGTTTTATAATTTTTCTATAATTTTGGTTTTGTTACAAAATGTGATTGGAAATTAAACAGTTCACATGTCGCAACCTGGAGGGACTCTCTATCATTTTTTTAAAATTATATATCTGATGAAATGTAGATAGAATAGTTGTTGAAATAATTGTTTTTAAAGTTGAAAATCACTTGACAGTATATATTTTTATTTTTACTGGGATGATATTGTTATTAATATCTCTACCCCTCTGTTAGGAGAAAATATTTAACAGTGGCATATCGAGAAATTGGTTTTAAAAAAGAGTAAGAGGCATAATTCTCTCCTGATATGTACTCTGCTTTTCACATTTGCTGCATATCCCTTTTGTACTCAGATATTACAGTTGTGGAAGGTGATTGTGCTCTATCTGTTATGGTACAGATTAACTCTTATCATGAATAATGAGAAGAAATAAATTTTAATTATATTACAATTTTTTCTTGTGACTTTGTGTATAAATATATTGTTTTTGTGTGTGTTTCGATAATTCACGAAGACATAGTATCTATTGGCATTGTATTGTCAATTCACAATGATAGATAATTACATTTCAGCTCACCTTACAGCTTTTAATAGAGAATGCAAGAATTATGAGAAAAAAAGATACTAGCCAGTTTCCCCCCATGTTTTTAGTTGACCGTAATTAATCACGTAACATATGCATACCAATAAATCAGGTATCAGAATGATAAGGGCATTTTCAAAATTTCATTGAAAACTTAAAAAGTAAAACAGTGTTTGTCAAATACATGGATTCAAAGATCCCTGCCTAGCTGCAAACTGACGGACCACTTTCAAAGGGAAATGTGCTTTTGTAATGATAATTACTTTTCGCTACCACTCGTCTGATAATACGAGCAGTAGGCCTACACAGTGCTTACCTTTACAGGAGGCAAGCGAAAGGAAATGGAGCAAAATTTCTCGACTGGGCATGAGTGGGCACTAATCTGACATATAACATAATACAGAATGGCACATGAACAAATTAACTTTTTATTTTCGTGAGCCGCAAGCAATGTCGGAAAAGTGTCAAATTGCAGCTTTTAGGATTGTAAATCTTTACTGTTTTTCACAAATTAAAGCTGCTACCATACAATGTAAGGCATTTATATTCATATTTTATCATATGTTCGATTTCCCCTTGTTAGTTCAAATAAAAAGTGAAATAATAAGGATATTTCTTTGTGACAAAAATCACTACTCAAGCTTTCCGATGATATTAGCGGCTTCGAACCTCGGACATCAAAGGTAACAGTACACCAGTAGAGTCTATATATATTGTGCAACCATAGAAAACAGCAGCTTGGAATAATTTGTTGCCAGTTGGGCCCCCATCTCTTTAATAAAACTCCTTGGTAAT